GGTGTGCTGCCGGGCCGCCTGCCGGGAGGCCGTGGCGGCATCGCAGCCCCGGTGCCTTCTCGGGCTTCACAGGAGCAAAGCTCAGAGCTGGCGTCGGGCAGTACCTCGGGAAAACACAGCCGAGGGCCAAGGAAGAGTAGTGACTTCTGTACCCGGTAAAGAAAGAGTATTCCACCCGGATAAAAATGCCTTGCATGCGTTTGTGTGAGTTCATCGGCAGTTACTGTTACCAGAAATGTTATTTCAGGCCCCCAACAGAGATATCCTCGCATTTTACACCAGTGGAAAGTCACAGTAGTTTAAATTGCGCGACTGTTTTTCTGTGCAGTAACACCTCTTGTTCCACACAGCTTTTTCACAAAGAGAGAGCAGACAAAGTAGAACACAAGTAAATCTAGGAAGCAAAATCTGTTATATAGACAACTCCTATCCCACTTTTCATGGGCAAAGGGACATAATTAACAAGGTTGGCTGCATGATTTTGTATTTTCTTCTTTTGCTTAATATGATGAAGTCAAATTCAAAGCAAACCAGAGCTGTGCACACTGTAGCTTTTATATGTGTGTACGTATATATTTATATACATGCCCTTTCTGGGCCTTGAATTGCATTGCTGCAGGTCTTCTGTAACAAACGAATTCCCTAACCCGTTCTACACACGGATTTAAATAGAAGCGTTATCTTGTCTGGAAATGAAAACAAAGCTGAATCTAATAAAAGCAATTATTTTAAAATTATTACAGTTAATGCATGAGAACATATGCTGCCTCTGACAAGCACAGAGTTCCCATTTCATTTAATTTTCATTTATTAAATACCTTCCAATAATCTCGAGCTGAAATTTATCATATAGATATATATATCTATTCCCTATGTATCATTCTATATATACAATAGGTACTAAAATTTGGCACAGTTTTGACCTACACCATAATTTCTAACTAATTTATCATTTCAGGGCCTACTCCCAAGGTAGAAATTATAAGCATAAAGTGGGAAACAGTGCCAAAGGTAGAATTTGTCAACTGAAAAAAAATCCAAACACTACTAACTTCATGTACCCAGGTTCCATGGTATGAGATTTGTGAGCCAAGAGCAAGGAACAAAAATAATTTATGATAAACAACAGTAGTAGTTCTCTATGACAAAGCCAGAAACTAGTAACAATGAAAATTTTGGAAGAAAAATCCTGAATTTATGTTACTAAATTTAAAAAGGGTAAAATCGAGTTCTTTTATCCTGCTGATGCGTTCCAGGCGTTCGATTATTTCATTAAAACTGTGGCTGGATCAAATAATAAGCGAAGGGAAAAAAAGTGCCCCAAAAGACACTGGGTAAGTATGTGAGAAAAGCATTCTCAAAACGCTGCTGCAAAAAAGCAACCTTTCTGTGCGAGTGATATCCACTATTACAGAATTTTTCCAGGTTAGTATTTTCTCAAATAACGTGGCTCCTGAAGGAGTATGTAGAGTGCAAAGACTGAAAAGACATCTTCTTCTGCATTTAGATAATGTTGAAATATGTATATATGTATCAGGGAGTCAAGAGATTGCTGTGATGGGAGTGTTTACAAGAGAAGACTAGTTTTAAACTTTACAGCAAAATGTACTAGATTGCCAATCATTGACAGGGTTGTTATGAGTTCTTACCCCATTAATCATTATCACTATGTATTAATTCTTACATATTCACTTACCAGCACAGATTTAAAACAATCAGTCCTTAACAGTTATATCCTAAACGAGCTATGAGCGTACAGTACCGCAGAGCTGATGCCACGTCGTTAGCACTGACGGTGGTAGTCCTCGGCGGTCTCCGTCGCTGAGGTCAGGGTGGCCAGATGCAGGAGCTCTTTGCTGAGGGGAGAGAGAACTGAAGTAGGCGTCTTCTTTCTGCCCCCTCCCACAAATTTGGGCTCTTACCCTTTTATAAGATAGTTTAACTTCCAGGCTATTCCCAGCCCATAACCTCAATCCTTGGACTATCTCACCGGACAGCGCTGAGGGGTGTTACTTTCCCAGGCCACTGCAGGTGTTTTACTCAGTTGGGGGACTTTTTAAAAATTATTTTCCTTAGTTGCTTCTTCTGTTCTTAAAGCAAAAGCAGTCTTTTCCCAGATCTCAAGGTTGTGCTTTTTCCAAGACCAGTCACTGACCATCAGCAAGTTGTTTATGATGTTAGGGCCTCTGCTTTCAACTTGTGCCCATGTTTCAAGGCCTTTGCTGCTATCCCACGCCTAAGCTGTACATCCTAACAAGAAACACCTGGCACCAAGCCCCAGTTCACACAGCGAGTTCTCATAACAACAGTTGGTAACAAGTCTAACAGGCCTTGCACCGTTAGCCAAGGGCCTGCGGCCCATTACTAGCAACAGCAAATGGTATTTTTATTGGGCCACTGGGCACAAAAGCGGTTATAACGTTTAAGCTACATTAGATTGTTTATGCTTAAATTCAAAACAAACTCATGTTAGTCTGCTTCGTGACTTCTACTTTCATTGCTGCAACAGGCCTCTCTGCATTAGTGTCAAGGGGTTTCGAGTGGGGAAAAAATAGCTCCACCTTGTGTACCAACAGATAACTGCTTATAACTATTACTGCAGCATTTAACACTTCAGATTGTGGTATAGTGTAACGACCATTTAGTATCTTCTGAAAATAAGCAAATGGAATAAATGCAGCAGTGCACTGGAGACTGTGAAAGAAAGTAGTCAAAATATTTGCCATCATGGAGGAGGTGGAATGATCATATTAACATAAGGGTTATGATTAGTTTCCGTATGATGACGTTAGTGTATTATCTCCTACTTTTCCGAAGCCTGTTTGGAAACCTATTTCCACAGAGAACCAAAAGGGAATAAAACAAGTAGGAACAGTAATTAAGAGCATATTTGTTACTTAGTGATTTCAATAAAGGTTCCTCAAGTCCCAGAACCGTAATTTTCCCTGGAAGCAAATGCGTGTTAATTAAATAAAAACACAGTTATTAAAAACTTGTCTCATTAAAAGAAACATAACACCATGACCCAGAAGCAAGCTATTCAGTATGAAAAGTTTGCTTTCTCTGCCCTGGTGGAGGAAATCTTCAAGCTCTTCTCTTTCCATTTTTCTGTTCCTGTGCTTAGACCCTCTTTGTATTAGATCTCCTTTATTTTTACTATCTTATCTCTTATTTAACATAATGCTAGTTCCTAACTTCATATGGTATACTTGTAGACTTGTTTTGACCCACTTTGACAGAACAGTCAAAAAAAATCAGATAGGCAACTCAGAAATAGCAATTTATTACAAAAATATTTTACAAATACTTATGTCTGATTTATGAACCTTTAAAATATACATCTCAGAATCTGTTCTCTTAAAACACTTCAAAGAAAACAAGGGAAAAAAGTGCATCGTAAGGTATGTGTATGTTTACTTCATGCACTTTCTTAGTGTATATATTGAAGAGGAAAACTCTTCAGATGTAAGGCGTATTGTTTCAAAGATCTTGTTGAATGTCATTCAGTGCAGTTGTAAGTCGTCTTATTTTATTTTCCATGGATTTTTTGTTGTTTGCCATTTCCTGCAGAAGCTGACGCATTTCTTCTTCAACGTGGTAAACCTGAAATAGCATATAGAGATCAAATATAATTTTTGCTTTTCCTTATTATGCCAACAAACATGATCTTGACAATTTTTAACATCAGTTAAAAAAAGTAGGAATTATGCACTTATATTAGCAAAGAACCCATGTTATAAACTTTACATTATAACACAGATTTTTTACTAAAGCTGTAATCAGAAGTAAAAGTATTTCCTTGAGGGAATGCATGGAAATACGACAAATAGAGACAGGACAGGATAAACAATTTCTGAGTTAGAAAAAAAAACAAAGTCCATTATGTATGGCATCAAATGTTTAAATAAGTGGTGCACTACGTTTGCCAGTAGTGAAGTTTGGCTTAAAAAAAAAAAAAAAAGTATCCATTTGTTAGGAGATGGCCAGTTTTCAAGAGTAAAGTATCTTCTACATACAAAAAGCACTAGTTATCACACCACACCCAAA